AAAATGCCCGATTATTTAAGCACTTTTTTTAGTAAATACATTTCTGATTGTTAAATACTCATAATTAAAAGAGTTTCCCTTATCACACAGCAATACTTATTAACTTTGTAGACTGAAGTCTGCCCCCAAGGGAAGGTGGGAGGGACATAGAAGTCATTCATCACAATCGGTCCTAATTTTCTACGATTCTTAACTATAAACACGTTCTACAATATGACACTGGAGTGAGAAAAGGTGATGATCAACTAAGAAAAGGTCAAATTTTTGCTGAGAACAACAGCTTGAGTTATAATGCTTAATGCAGCAGATTTAGCCTTGTGCCGAATTTACTCATTCGCTTTATTGGTCTTAGGCTAGGTTCTCCAGAGGAGCAAAACCAGTGAAGGGTATGTGTATATATACATATATATACACGCACACACAGAGAAAGATTTATTTCAAGGAAATGGCTCACACAGCTGTGGAGGCTGGCAAGTCCCATATCCATGGGTCAGCATTTCTATCTGCCACTGACACTTCAGGCACCATTGGATCAGCCGAATCATATGGCCCAATGGCAGAGCAGCTTACATGGCAGCCTAAACCTGTTGCAGAGCCTTTTCTTGGCTGGGCCCCACTCAAAACTAGCAGCTTTTCGAGTCACTTGATAAAAAGACCAGAGCAGCACACCCAAATGAGGGATATGTTGCTTCCAAAATACAAAGATGCCTGCCAGGTATTGCGCCTTCTTTTCAGTTGAAGGAGAGGCCAGATCCAACAGCTTATCCTCCACTTTAGAAGGAATACCTCAATGTGCCTCACACCAAAGGACCCCTAGAAACTTTACTGAGAGTCATTAGCACCTTTAAGACTAGATAAAGCTTTACCTAGGGGCGTCTCTCCCCTCTCCCTCAAGGTCCCTTGAAAGGCTTGTTTTCCTTGGGATATATTTTTGAGCTTTTCTGAGTTGCAAAGAGTGGACCTAGTAACAATTTTGTTGAAATGCTAGAATTTTAATCATGCTAACACATTTCCATAATGAGTTAGAGGTGTTTGATTGAAGGCTTTAAATAAAGATGACATTTTGTAAAGCACAAACCGTTTGCACCAGGCTTGAGAACCAATTCAGAAAACTCATCCCTACGATTTTGTTCCTCTAGAATCATTCTCGGTACCAAATGTCTTAGGCAGGACTCTCTAGGGGAGCAAAACCAGTGAAGTATATATATATGTATATATATAAACATATAGAGACAGAAATTTATTTTAAGGAAATGAATCACACAGTTGTGGAGGCGGGCGAGTCCCAAATTCGTGGTCAGGAATCAGGCTGGAGGCTCTTTCTGACTCACATGGTTGCAGGGGCTGATGAACCCAAAAACTGGCAGGTCAGAAGGCAGACTGCTGGCTCATGGGGCTGCGGAAGCTGGCAAATCCCAAAATCTGCCTGTGAGGTAGAAACCTGCTGGCTCATGTCCCATGAACCGGAAGTCAGATGCCGAAAAGTCAGATGCAGGATCCAAAGTGAGAGTGAGCCTTGCCAGAGCATCCATATATATTGGATGCAGGCCACACACCCAAGGAAACTCCCCGTACATCAGATCCCGAAACGGAGGATAATTACATAATACTGAGAATCATAGGCTAGCCACGTTGATACATAACATTAACCATCACTATTGGCAAAGGTCTCTTGGAAAACTCCTAGGTCATCAGCTTGAAACATGGTCAGAATGCCTCGTTAAGGTAAGAAAGAAGTGAAATTTCTTGGTACAGATGTTAATTTACCAGTTGCTAACGCAAAATTTGTATAAAAGACTATCAAAACTATACAAACCAAAAAACCAAACGAGTTGCTGTCAAGTCGATTCTGACGCATGGTGACCCCATGTGTATCCGAGTAGAACTGTCCTCTATAGAGTTTTCAATGACTGTGATCTTTTTGAAGTAAATCATCAGGACTTTCTTCCAAAACACCTCTGGGTGGATTCAAATTGCCAACCCTTTCCATTAGTAGCTAAGTGCTTAACTATTTGTGCCATCCAGGGACTCTGGAAATAACACACTAATTATAAACTCTTAGAATACAGTATTGCATATCCTGTGATCCACTCTTCACACCAGGTGAGACATCACTCCATAATGCCTTCTTACCCCAGCTTTGATGAACCTTTACCACGTCTAAAATGTCGCCACCACCCCCGTACTTCCACCTTCATCCTGTTCTACCTCTTCGTTGAAGCTTTTGCTTACATAAATATTACACTATAAATATATAGACACATGATCTAAAATAAAAGAATGGTTTAAGCATATATACTTTAAAAAATATTTGCTACAGGGTGAATGACTGGGTCAAGAAAAGAAATGTTTGGATATTATTATGAAATTACATATTTGGCCACTAGATGTCGCCCTTTCTAAGCATAAAGATTACTTCACAACCTTTGACGTTTCAGTAGCAGTTATATTCCATTCTATCTGACGTTCTTAAGTTAAATCAGCTACAATATTGCATACTTTAACAAGGAAAAACTCTCTTTAGTCTCTGTATGGTCCTAAAAGAAGAGAAATGTATCGGTGGCAGAAGGCTTATTAAACAGAAACAGTTGACCAGCTGATCATGGAACCCTAATAACTGAAATATAATTATTATATTTCACAATAGAATCACTACTCATACTGGAGCTTTTGAAGTTTAGGTTGTATTTTACTTCTCTATTGTAGATATGATTTACAAGGAAACACCCCTCTAATCTATAAAATATTTTTTTATTTGTTGAACATCATTGCAATATCTGTGCAATTCGTCTTTTTCAGACAGTTTGGTATTTTAGCCTTTTCTATCTCTCCATGACTCTTACGACCACTCTTTCTGCAGGTGGTGTTTGATTTGTAGGTGTATAAAGGCGTAAATCACAGTATAGAATACAATGATAAGTTTTAGCAAAGTATTTATTTTACTATCAGGGACTGAGAATAGATTATCTGAAAATCGCTTGCCCTTGGCTTGTAGGAATCTGCTGTATCCCATTCCTAGTTAGAGATCCAATTCCCTAACATAAACTAAATATAGTTCACGACACTAGGTACAAAGGGAAGAGTTAACGTTAGAAGTTGGCAGCACTGGAATGAGTCACTCTGATACCACAGAAGAAGAAGTTTAACAGTTGGAGGAAACAAAATACAAGCAACAAACGAAACAATATAACCAGCCAGAGTTCCCTGTGAAGAGGCCTCTAACGAGTGAAACTTGATCAAGTCCTGTCAGTGTCCAAAGCCATATAGTTAAAATGCAGCAATAACTAATGAAGTTACTAATTTCCCAAAAAGTTAAAATTGTGACTCTCATATGTGTATAAAATGGACACTCATAAAAGATCTTATTCAACTCACTGATTAATGAGAGAACCAAAAAGATGGTAAGGTCAGTTCAAGAGAGAATTCGAGCAATGGAGATTCATAGTCAGTCTTGCAACCAATTAACCAAGCTGGAATGTCTACATGGTCTTTCTCCGGGGTGCATAATTTCACAAAGATCAAAACAGGGTCCAGAAGGTTTTGGGATTCCACAAAATGAGGCACATGTGACCACACTCCAACTCCTTCACTCCAGCCATGAAGGGCAAATGATGGAGAGATATATCTCAAGTGCAACAGGACTTAACCTCTAACTCCTGCATTCTCTAGAATTTGTACCGATCACTTATTTTACCCCCCAACAGCTTGCCCTTTGACTTAATATAATACATGAGATTCTCTATTACAATGTAAATAATGGAGACTGGTAAATGACCAGGGTATTGAGTCATCACACAAAAGCAAGCAATACCTTGTATATGGTCTATATGAGAAACTATACTAGATAAAATGTTACCAATGGAAAACATTGTAAAAAATGTGCTTTTAAAATATGCTTGGTATTCTTAACAATATGATATATGGTTTATAATTTTCTCAGAGATTTCAGGACATGGGAGGAAATCTAATGTATTGACAATATATTCCAGGAAGATATCAGGCTGACAAAATACCTATCTAAAAAAAATGCTCTATTTAAATTCAAAACTTGAAAATCCTGAAGAAATTTTAGACATGATTAAATGAACCTTAGAAAATTATCTTAAATTCCTAGGATTTACATGCATGGAACCTAAAAACATGAGGTGCTCCAAGCTCAATTACTAATTCAGCTTCGATGCTTGTAAAGATTATACCACTTAGCCCATGGCTGAGAAGACTCAGAAAATTAATCAAACATTATGACATTAACTATTAAAAGTCTAGACAGTCTCCTCGTGACATACACTTTGATATAACAACCATGCTAAGTTTTTTTTTTTCTTTCCAGGATGTTATTTCTGTATTTCAATACCAGATAAAAATAAAAGGAACACTTATGAATTCCCCAGTCAAATAAAAATGAGTAATTTGTTGGTGTATTACATTTACATTTATACTTGCTCTAAAATATGAAGAGTTCTATAAAATAGAAAAGTGCTGTCAGTCTGTTGTTCAGTATTCAGCTTCTTCAGTTTTCATGGGTTGTAAAGTCTTTTAGGATAGAAAATATTCCCTACAAGACCATCCTGTAACATTTCTAGCTTTAAAAGTAGATGTAATTTTAATAATAACGTGCCACTTTTAAGGCTCCATTAGGCACAGCTCTGGTTGCCTTTGATTTACTCATCAATTCAAGGAATCTGAAATTTTCTAAAGTCTAGTTTTTGAAAAAAAATTGAAGCAGTCTCTTTGCATTAAGCCATCTGCTCTGCATGATTGCAGTGACTCATTTTTAGCATGGAAGCTTCTCTGCTTGTGATTGAATTTCTCAATCAATTGAACTCTTTGGAAAGAATTCATTTCTGATAAAGCACATCATTGTTACCAGACTAGTAAAATAATTATAATCAGCCAAATTTCTATTGGATAGCATCTTAAAGAACTCATGTAAATTTAACAACTTATTCATGCAAATTAATTTACTCATCACCAAAAAAGAATATGAAATTGGTACTCACGCAGGTTTTATAGTATGGACATGCTTTTCATGGACAAAGGCACCAGCAAGACCTCCTGCTCCTGAGTTTAAATACTGAATTGAAAATAAATTAAATTGTATGGGCTTACTTAAATATATGACAAAATATAAACAATACAATCATTTGCCTTTTTTTTTAATGAAACTAAATTTCAGCTATTTGGAAATTTTGCTAAAAGGAAAATAAATAAAAAATAACATTATTAGGTTGAGGATACACAGTCATTCTATGTCTGGTCAAATAAAAGAAAAAGAAACCAATACTGTAAAACAAATACAGGAGGCTTTGAAAAGACCAATTCTTTCCAGCTAATTTAATTTCTCAATATGACAAAATATTTGCCCTGGTAAGGTGGGAAAACTGATTGATAGAATTGATTTGAACATTAGCAATTCAATTTTGTGCAACATAATATGCAGTAATAAACTGAATATTCATTTTAGATATGTTGCAAAATTTGGTGGTTTTGTATTTTTTTGTCAGAGCATTAATATTCAAAGAGTAGATAAAGAATTACCAAAAAGGTTAATCATTACAAAATAAGAGATGTCTTTTTAACTAAGAAAGCTTCTAGAAGTGGCATTAGCCCAAAGCTCTTGCGCAGTAAGTTCCTTAAAACACCATGAGACAACAGATAAAAAATTCCAACATAGAAATCAAGAAACTGTGGTTTAGAAAGACTAGTTTGCCCCAACTAATAAACAGCGTTGCCACTGAGGTCTGTCTAATTTCAGTGGTCAATCATTTAAATTTTTTTGGTCATGAAAACATTTAAATAATAATAAAGGTATCATATTTTAAAAACACCTAAACTAAAATTTGTTTTATTTCCACCCTCCCTGTCATTTTTTTTTCAAATGCCAATACCAACTGACTCTAAGAATTACCTTGAAGTAAGTAGACATTCAGAACATCAACAACAAAACCAAGAACCTAATCAATTTGAATTAAGTTCTACATGTGTGAGGCTTTTTCTCCACAACCTCCTGACATTTTCATAGAAGCCTAGGGATTGAAGGAGTGCGTTCTCCATAAAAAACAAAACAAAACCTTGAACCAAACCCATTGCCATGGAGTTGATTGCAACTCATAGCGACCCTATAGAACAGAGTAGAACTGCCCCATATGGTTACCAAGGAGTGGCTGGTGGATTCAAACTACTGACCTTTTGGTTAGCAGCCGAGCTCTTAAACACTATTAGAAACACTATAGGGCAGTTCTACTCTGTCCTATAGGGTCGCTATGAGTTGGAGTCAACTCAACAGCAATGGGTTTGCATTCTCAATAGTGGATGAAAATACCAAAATTAATTATTTTTCATACTATCCTATCATGCGACTCTTACTATTAACTAAACTCAGAAAACACAGAAATGAAAAACATATGAAAAAGTAACTCGAGTCCTTAAGATTGGCCCACCTATCCAGTTTTTTATTTGGATTAATGTCAAGGTGAAATAAAACGATGCAAACACATTAACTAGTCTGTACCTTGTAGGAACACCAGCAGGCAAAATCAACTCCCCAGTCGTGTAAGTGGAGCTCAACATTTCCAACTGCATGTGCTAGATCAAAGCCAACAAAACAACCCTGGGGAAGAACACAATGACACATATTAGATTTGCTTAATGGTTAGAAATAGTTAATCCAAATATCTTTGAGAAAATCTTTGACAACCCGCTGTACCATAAACAAGGGCATCCTTTAATGCAGTGGTTCACAGAGAGTGAACTGTGGAATTCTGAGTGTTCCCAAGGCTTTTCATGAGACTCACTAGGTCAAATAATTTTTGTAATACTAAGACATTCTTTGCCTTTTCCGCTGTGTTGACATTTGCACTGATAGTGCACCAACAAAGGTGGGTAAAACTCTGGCACCTTAATACAAATCATGGCAATGGCACCAAACTCTATGAGCAGTCATTCACTCTTAACCTACTCCCCCCCAAAATTTCACTTAACAAGTTCCTTGATAAAGCTATAAAAATGATTAATTTTTACCTCATCCTAACACCTAATTCTCATACTTTTAAAATTCTTTGTAGGAAATATTTATAAAACACTTGGCTGCATTCTGAAGTAGGACGGTTGTCTCATAGTAATGCATTTGTGCAATTATTTCGGTTGCAAGCTGGACTAGCCCCTCTTTTCATGGAATATCATTTATACATGAAAGAGTAACTGACAGACAAACAATGATAATTTAAACTTGAACATTTGGCATTCTTTTGAAAATAAAGTGATTCTATCACTTCAAAGAAAACAACTTATTGTATTTGTTGCCAATGGTAAAATTAGAATTTTCAAAAGAAAAGCAGAATTTTGGAAAACTTGTGTCCATTCACTTCTATGAGTATGACTACTTCCCAGCACATATCCAGGCACTGCAGATGAGTTTGCTGGTGATATTAATAAATACGACTTTTTGTATCATATGAAACATGTCAATATTCGGAAGATCTGTATAATTCTGTGAACCAATATTTTCCAAATGACCAATGATTGATGCTATGTATCATGCATGGATCAAAGATCCATTCAAAGTGCAAGATTGACCAATGGACTTTAATGTAACAAACTATAGAAAATAGAATGATTTGGTTTCGCATTCCATATCACAACTAACCACTAAAAAGTTCTCACTTGCCAAATTTTGTGTAGTATCAAAGAATGTCCACAATTAATTGAAAAGGCTACTAAACTACTCCTATCTTTCCCAACTCCATGTATGTGTGAGGACAAATCTTCTTCATATGCTTCACTAAGGAAAAAAAAAAAATTCAAGAGATTGTATTCAGAAGCAGGTATGAAAATCCAGTTGGCTTCTAGTAAGAAAAACATTAAAGTTATTTGTCAAATGTAAAACAACGCCACCCTTTTTGCTCGTTTTGGAAAAAAATAGTTATTTTTCATAAAAATATCCTATTTATGTTAACCTGTAAAGGGTTTGTTACTGTTATTTAAAAATAAATCAATACACTACTATGATAAATATATTTTAAAATTTAAAGTACAATAATATAGACATACAAACACAAAATTAATAGCTCTTTGAGGTCCTCAATAACTTTGAGTGATTGAGTGTAAAGAATTTCCATTACCAATAAATTTGACAACTACTGCTTTAGTGTGTACTAGTAACTTGAAACCACCTTATTATACTGTGGTGGTTTCCATGTTGCTGTGATACTGGAAGCAATGCTACCGGTACTTCAAATACCAGCAGGGCCGCTCATGGCGCACAGGTTTCAACTGAGCTTCTAGACTAAGACATACTAGAAAGAAGGACCTGGTGGTCTACTTCTAAAAGCATTGGCCAGTGAAAACCTTATGAATAGCAGCAGAACACTGTCTGATGTAGTGCCAGAAGATGAGAGCCTCAGGTTGGAAGGCACTCAAAATATGACTGAGGAAGAGCTGCCTCTTCAAAGTAGAGGTGACTTCAATGACGTGGATGGAGCAAAGCTTTCGGCGCCTTCATTTGCTGATGTGGCATGACTCAAAATGAGAAGAAACAGCTACAAACATCCACTGATAATGAGTACATGGAATGTGCGAAGTATGAATCTAGGAAAATTAGAAGTTGTCAAAATGAAATGGAACGCTTAAAGATCGATATCCTAGGCATTACTGAGCTGAAAAGGATTGGTATTAGCCATTATGAATCAGACAATCATATGATCTACTATGCCAGAATCACAAATTGAAGAGGAACGGCATTACATTCATTGTCAAAAAGAACATTTCAAAATCTATCCTGCCTGAAGTACAATGCTGTCAGTGATAGGATAATACATCTATAAGGAAGACCAGTTAATACAACTATTGTTCAAATGTACACATCAACCACTGATGCCAAAAATGAAGAAACTGCAGTCTAAAATTGATCAAACATGCAATCAAGATGCACTGACAATTACTGGTAATTGGAATTGGAAACAAAGAAGAAGGATCAGTAGTAGGAAAATTTGGTCTTGGTGATAAAAGTGATGCAAGAAATCATAAGACAGAATTTTGCAAGACCAATGACTTAGTCATTGGAAATACTTTTTTCAACAACATAAGCAATGACCATACACATGAACCTCACAGGATGGAATACACAGGAATCAAATACACTACATGTGTGCAAAGAAATGATGCAAAGGCTCAATATCATCAGCCAGAACAAGTCCAGGGGTCGACTGCAGAACAGACCATTAATTGCTCATATGCAAGTTCAAGCTGAAGCTGAAGAAAACTAAAACAAGTCCATGAGAGCCAAAGTGCTACCTTGAGTATATCCCACCTGAATTTAGAGACCATCTCAAGAATAGATTTGATGCATTGAACACTAGAAGACCAGACAAGTTGTGGGATGACATCAAGGACATCATACATGAAGAAAGCAAGAGGTCATTAAAAAGACAGAAAGAAAAAAAAAAGACAAAAATGGATGTCAGAAGAGACTCTGAACGTAGAGTAGTAGCTAAAGCAAAAGGAAGAAATAATGAAATAAAAGAGCCGAACAGAAGATTCCAAACGGTGGCTTGAGAAGACAATGTAAAGCATTATAATGAAATGTGCAAAGATCCGGAGTTAGAAAACTGAAAGGGAAGAACACATTTGACATTTCTCAAGCTGAAGGAACTGAAGAAAAAATTCAAGCCTAGAATTGCAATACTGAAGGATTCTACTGGGAAAATATTGAATGATGCTGGAAGTATCAAAAGAAAATGGAAGGAATACACAGAGTCACTGTACCAAAAAGAACTGGTCAATGTTCAACCATTTCAGGAAGTAGCATATGATCAAGAACCAATGGTACTGAAGGAAGAAGTCCAAGCTGCAATGAAGGCATTGGTGAAAAACAAGGCTCCAGGAATTGACAGACTCCCAATTGAGTTGTTTCAACAAATGGATGCAGTGCTGGAAGCACTCATTCATCTATGCCAAGAAATTTGGAAGACAGCTACATGGTCAACCAATTAGAAGAGATCCATATTTGTGACCATTGCAAAGAATGGTGATCCAACAGAACACAGAAATTATCTAACAGTATCATTAATATCACACAAAAGTAAAATTTTGCTGAACATAATTCAAAAATGGCTGCAACAGTACATCCACAGGGAACTGCCAGAAATTCAAGCCAGATTCAGAAGAGGATGTGGAACGAGGGATATCTTTGCTGATGTCAGATGGATCTTGGCTGAAAGCAGAGAATACCAGAAAGATGTTTACCTGTGTTTTATTCACTATTCAAAGGCATTCAACCACGTGGATCATAACGAATTATGGATAACATTGTGAAGAATGGGAATTCCAGAACACTTAATTGTGCCCACGAAGGATCTGTACATACACTAAAAAGAAGTCATTCGAACAGAACAAGGGGATACTGCATGGTTGAAAATCAGGAAAAGTGTGCATCATGGTTGTATCCTTTTACCAAATTTATCTGATCTGTATGTTGAGCAAATAATTCGAGCACCTAGACTACATGAAGAATGTGGCATCAGGATTGGAGGAAGACTCATTAACAACCTGTGTTATGCAGATAACACAACCTTGCTTGCTGAAAGCAAAGAGGACTTGAAGCACTTACTGATGAAGATCAAAGACTACGGCCTTCAGTATGGATTACACCTCAAAATAAAGCAAAACTCCTCACAACTTGACCAATAAGCAACACTATGATAAATGGAGAAAAGACTGAAGTTGTCAAGGATTTCATTTTACTTGGATCCACAATCAATGCCTATGGAAGCAGCAGTCAGGAACTCAAATGATGTATTGCATTGGGCAAATCTGCTGCAAAAGACCTCTTTAAAGTGTTAAAAAGCAAAGATGTCAGTTTGAGGCTAAGGCATGACTGACCCAAGCCATGATATTTTCAATTACCTCATATGCATGTGAAAGCTGGACAATGAATAAGGAAGACAGAAGAAGAATTGATGCTTTTCAATTATGGTGTTGGTGAAGAATATTGAATATGCCATAGACTGCCTGAAGAACAAACAAATCTGTCTTGGAAGAAGGGCAGCCAGAATGCTCCTTAGAAGGGAGGATGGTGAGACATCATCTCATGTACTTTGGACGTGTTGTCAGTAGGGACCAGTCCCTGGAGAAGGACGTCATGCTTGGTAATGTAGAGGATTAGTGAAAAAGAGGAAGACCCTCAACAAGATAGATTGACACAGTGACTGCTACAATGGTCTCAAACATAACAATAATCGTGAGGATGGCACAGGACCAGGCAGTGTTCCATTCTCTTGTGCTTAGGTCACTATGAGTCAGAACCGACTCAACGGCACATAACACCACCAAAAACAGTAATTTTGAAGCATCAGTTTCAGTTTAGCATTTAATTTCACATCATGTCCACATTTTAATTTTATCAATTCACTATACACTCTGTGGTAAATTCCATTTATGGTTCCAATTCCTTCCCCTTCTAATATCCACATCCTTTGCCGTATAACTTTTCAGTTCCTCTCACTGGGATCGGGATGTAAATCTCTGACGCTTAGCTCAGTCACGTGGCTTTTTTTGAGGAATGGAATATTGGGAGGTGTAAAGCAAACAGAGTCTCCAGGAATATGTGAGTGA